CACCTTTATCCGACTTGTCTCTCCTACGAAGTGATCGACCCATCAGTGGTGATACAGTATCACGGGACTGATCTTCATGTAAACTTTATGAAAAATTCAAGAGAGCAAGTTGTCGATTCTCTTTTGTAGCTGCAAAACTGTGTATTTAATAGCACTAGGTTATCACGCTTCATGCTCCACTTTCAGAATGTATCAATGCCTAGCGTCTGCCGTGAAGCTTGTCTTGGTACAGTACTAGTCACCTCCTTCTTGAAAGTAACCCGCTAGCGAAGTCCCCGATTATCCCAACGGACAACTTAATGCGGACTTGTAACAAGTATTCGTTGACTTACTTCGACACAAGCATGGCACCTCTCCTACGCGATTCAGCACAGGTGACGAACCATCTGTCCTAGACTTAATGCTTACCAACATGGAACTAATGGTTGAAATCATAACCATAGGTAAACTTATTGAAAGCAGTGACCATGTGACGCTGCATTTTCCTCAGATCTGCTGCGCGGGATACATCACTGGGAACAACAAAAGAGCCCAATTCGTCATCCATAGCGGCCTCCTGTCTGACGTCGTTCAGACGACCAACTTATCTATCCTAGCCGAAGAACCACTTGAGGTCGCCTGGACGGAGTTGGTTACACGCCTAACTGGGCTAGTGCCTAATGCATCGGAAACACCCGTCTTGCACCTGAAGCAAACCGATCCCTTCCTAAGGAGCCGCACTCCAAAGTGTACAACATTGATTAACGCAGCCTTGTGCGCTCAGAAAGCCTCTAGGATTGCGCACACCTTGAACGCCCAAATTATACTACCAAATCAAGCTTCGAACTGACCTATGAAGAGAAAGTAATGAACCACCAACATTGAGCGACGAATTACTGCACTAGTCACAAAATGTTTGAACATCGCATCAATAAGCTCTAAAGAACGCAGCATAGAATCCCGGTTCTAAGTGTGGCAAATGACAAGGTCCTAACGACACACAAGGCGGTCAACGTAGTTCGGAAGCAGCTCATCCATCACTTCCAGAGTGTTTTGTTATCTCAACCGCGTCTGACATGGCTGGCACTGCTCCCAGAGTTGATAAGTGTCCTTCACCGCGCTCGCACAGCTCTCCTGGTGTAGACGACATACATCCATAAGTAATAAACTTGTCGCCGAACTGTTAGATTGCTTCGTTGAACAATGCCTTGATGAAACGCAGGTTGCCACAGTGTGTAAACATGGGGTAGTCACTACCGTTTACAAGAATAGTAACCATATATCATTCTCGGACTGCTGTCCAATATTCCCCAGCCCAAGCCATCCAGCGTTATCGGAGGAATTATTGAAGAGGCGCTAATGAGATATCTTGAGACCAACAACATCATAGTGCCACAGCAGCACACGTTCCGCAGAGATCAATCATACACTACGAACTTGCAGCAAGTCTGAGCAGGTTGAACAGAATGTGTTAATGCCAGCGTAGCAGGTCATAAAAGCGTTCCACTTCTTGAAACACTGCATTTCTCTTCACAACCTAGGATGCAATGGAATCGGTGATCCAGTCCAGAGTTAGGCCATCAACTTCCCTACTCAGCGTCATTTGAATGTGCGACTTCAGTTACCTTTTTGAGCCCCTTGAATCCCAGTTTGAAGTAAACAAAAATCGGCAATATGACTAAGTTTATTCCAAGTCTAAACAATCGATCTTTTTAGTGTACTCAAGTCGTACATCCTACTATTTGCGGTCGATCTCAGGATACAAAAACACCAACCGATTGTTTTTGAGCCTCTCTACAATCATAGCTAGCTAGTTGCTCATCGAGTACTTAAGTCTGCGGTGTCCAGTTCACTAGCAATGTAAGTGGACTCATATCGATGGCGATTCTGGCAATCATTGTCTCTGCTTCGAATAGACTGACAAGATAAATCACAAATGGTGGTGACTGCTTTCAATGCCAAACAGCGCAAACTATGGAGTACTAAAGATGTACACAGTGTAAGTGGTACGCCCAGATGGTGTTAGGCCTGCGAGAGTCTATCTGCACTCTGGTATAATGCAAAGAAACGGTTAAGGGATGTACGACAAGCAGGGCGAGGATAAAGTTCCGATAAGAAGACAAACTCCAGATAACAGAAGAGCAAGAACTGGAGTAGCAAAACTCGTGTACAGATTCCTCAGTAATGTTCAGCAAAATAGGTAAAGTCAAAAGCATTATTAAGTTAAGAATATTATAGGTATCTTTATATTTTGCAAGATAGCGTTACAAAAGTTTAACTTATGTCTACCTGAGTACTTTTGCGCTACTACGATAAAGAAAATAAATGTCACGAGCCAAGGGCTATTGTGTGATGCAGTCAAGAGATGAAGTATAATAAGAGGGGTTCCATGTTGGTTCACCTGAATGCCAAACGACATATAGGAGTGCGATCTCAATCTTGATTTGAAAAGTTACGAATGTCTTATGGTTGATTGAGTTAGACGGTTGACACAAAGGCCTCTCAGATATTACCCGGCCTTGGTTGCCTCTAACTTCATAGCTTTGGCAGTGTATGAGGAAAAAACCACACTAATAAAGGCAACTTCAGATGATAGTTTCAACTCAGACAACCGTTAATACCACTGGGTCTCTTGTTTTCGTTTGTAACTTGAGGACATACTTCGCACATTTTTAAATTGTTTTGCTCATGATGTTATCTGTTCGTTTTGGATTCTTGGCTGGAAATGCGTAGGCTGGACTAAAAGTAACCGGGCACCGACATATACACAGGAAAACCATGCGCCTACGACCTCAAAATGAACAACCTGAGGAGAACCTGGATTCCAGCTAGAAAACACAAAGGTGCATACGCAGAAAGATGGTATGGTGGGTAATTCATCCGCTACGATAACAGTTTTTCTTCTATGTTGTAGTACTCTATCGTAAGTTTATTACTGAATGAATAATGCACGTATACGTTCAAATAGAAATAACACATCATCAGGGAAAGATTGAACATATCCATGGCAGCAGGTACGTATTTTAAAAGATGGCTTCTGTAGCGATTTAGACTCACTGCTACAGGGGACAGCAAGCAGCCATTGGTGATTCACAAACAAGCGGACGATGGCACCATTCGAGACAAATGTACGATTTTATCTTCAAATAAGGGTGAGTTACCTTGTGTGAGTCCGTTGCATCGAGGCCAAGTGAAACAGTCGCGATATCTGGAAAAACGCTGGACCGCCATATCGTTCTATTGTGACTCATGAGAAGCGCTAATCTGAAGAACCCTACTGAATTCGTACCTTTGACTTTCTCCTCAAAAGTCATCAACTCAACGTACCGGTTTAAGACCGCGATGATTGGTAACTTGTTACGATACAACACCGCTGATCCCCCACTGCAATACACGTTGTGAACGTAAATAGACGGGGTTGGCCTCGGGATCTACGAATTCCCTTGTAAACCATCACCAAGAGAGGTGACATGCGAGATGTTCCGGTGGGTATCGATTGTTACAAACTGCATCTAGCTGTGACGTGACCTTTCGACCACACCAAAAAAGCTGTACCGCTCTAACAATTAGTGGTTACAGGAGCAGCGCAATACATCAGTTCAACACCCTCAGATGTGGCGACTGTCTCGCTGCGATAAACCTCATCAAGACACGTCATTCCACTAACTACCCTTCAATAAGAGCAGAGTTCTCCAGTAAAAGATTCAAGTGGCTATCCCAGTGTTCCTAGCTGCAGTCATAAAACCAGTCTGTACATGTGGTAAACTACACTAAATGAGCAACATACCTCAAATCAACTGTATTGAATATTACTGCTGGAATGTGCAGTCATTTTCGGTGGTGCCAGTTTCCTCTTGTCGGAATGTACTACGAAGACGTGCAACAACCAAACCTTTCCGTTTCCAGCACTATTCAGACGACCAGCTTGACCGCTATCTTCATCGGCACAGGTCACGCACGTGCTCAACGGCACGTGCCATAATTTGACCACATAGCGCACAGTTACAAGCTGATTTCCCCACGTATCACTAAATTGCAAACCGCTGTCAAACGTTTCGATAGAGGTTGCGCACAAACGGATAGAATGAAAAAGTGCATTAAAGCGGAAAGTAAAAACAGGAGAGTATTTCAGCATCGGGACGCAGAAAAGACCATTTGGGCGTCTGATGAACTAGCTTGAGAATCATAAGTAGCTGACGGCTGACTACCAAAATGTACGTTCAGTGTACATGTTACGGTACCGAGAGTTCTGAAGATACATTATTCTTGTCAATCCATCATAGTATAAATTTGAAGCTGAATTTGGTTCGGAACTAGCACATATATTGGCTAGATAATCCATGATAAAGCAGATTTGGAATAAATGCTGGTGTACAACTCAAGCAAGAAGTTTGCTTGATGAGCCCGAGTGTTTCTGCAGCAGAGGAACGAAGAAATCATCAAGCATATCGACGTAGGAAATGGAGAAATCCTTCAACGTAGCAGCGATAGAAGAAAAGCACTTCACCCACCGACACGATCACCGTGTAGCTTAACTCAAAATACTGAAGACTAAGATAGGGACGGCTATAGTGGAACAAAACTATTAGTGACGGATTCTTCAACTACGAAATATTTACTACCACTGTTCCTGTGTACTTGGTATGGAACTTAACTATATACCTTTCATGGATATCTTTCACATAGGAGCTCTGTTTCTGTATGTATTGCAGTGTCCCTGTTTGATAAAGTTGTCATCCCTCATCTACTAATATTCAAGATAACTGTGATATTTAACAGGATGCCTGGATGACAGTTGAGATGCAATTAGAAACCAGCTTTGAGCTTTAGGTCTTATGAAAAAAGGCAAGAAACCTATTTTCTTGTAGCAATAACAAGTACTGTTTCAGAGAGTAAAACGGTAAACACTTTGCACGCAGATGTTTTGAAGTGCATAATCATGCACACTGATGTTCGGTAGTTGACTTCCCTAGTGAATCAAGAAGTAGATTGCACGACAAGCCGACAAATGGGGTGCTCACCTGTTTTAACATAGAATGGAAAAGTAGGCACCTCAGGCGACGGGTCAAGCGCTCACCGGACACACCGAAGAAAAATCCCTGAGTAACAAAATGGAGAGAAATGTGTGTCAAACTTAGTGAATTTCAACATCCCAATAATGGGCAATGTTGTGACCGTTTGATACGTTTTAATATCGTATGTCGAATAATAATTGTTGAAGTGCTTACATAAAATGATAAATAGTATCTCTCTTGACCGCACGAGATGTAGTCCAACTTGGTAGACTGCTCAATTGTTACAGAGGCATCGCATAGCCCGGACCTATACCGTTTGTCGTTATTTTTAGCAAACTCATCCAGTGGCAGCGTACAGTCAGTTGGCAACAATAACAGAAAAATGAACGAATAACTTGGATATTCCGGTTATGTTTTCTCCCATCACTGTAATCCAGACGCATCTCGTTGTTGCTTGTGCACATCAAACTACGTCGTGCATTGCAGTGTTAGGGGAGATACACATTGAAACCCACACTTTGGATACAGTTCAACTGGTCGGAATGGCAAAGGCTGCCTTCGAAGTCAACCGATGCCACAATTCAGAATGCGTGTCATAATTTTAAGACACACAGGAGTTGCTCCAAAACCTGACAATCATTGCAGACGATAGATATGGCAGAGGATGGTAAATTTGGTACAAAAGTACCATATAAATGGCGTTTCACAAAACTCCCGTTGTAGCTAACTGGAAGCGCAGCCAGACTCGTGAGGAGCAAGCCGGGTTCCGTCGGGGTCGTGGCTGCATCGACCACATCTTTACCTTGGGTCACTTGTGAGAGCACCGTCACACATATTGGCGGCGCACCGTAGTCGTGTTCCTCGACATCAAAGGTTCCTTCGATTCGGTTGATCGATGTGCCCTTTGGAATTGTCTACTCAAGAAAAGTGTGCCCGAGAACTATGTAAATATGTAAATGTAATGTAAATATGTAAATATTATCCAAGCATTATATGCGCATAGCAAGGGCAAAGTGAGGGCTTACGGCTAGCTGTCGCCACCCTACCATGTCTCCAGCGGTGTGAGACAAGGATACCCGCTGTCACCTTACCACTTCAACTTCTCTATTGATGAATTCATGGAGATTGCATTTGCAAGACATGCCTTAGAAGGTGTGGAGCTACTTCCAGGAGAGCAACTTCTTGACTTGGAGTATGCAGACGACATTGCCCTCATCTGTGCCAAGCGGCACTTTACAGAGTAGCACTAGCTGTCAGCCTCTTCGAGCTATGCTTTGCACCATGGAAATGCAAAGCATTCCTCCAAGATTGGCAGGCATCGCCTCCTGCGCTGATCCTTGATGGGGATCAGCTAGAAGTAGTTGGGAAATTCAACTACCTGGGAAGTTGTATCAGCGCCCTTGGGATCGAAGACGAGATCACGAACCGGATAGCAAAAGATCGAAGTGCCTTTGCTAACCTTCCCCACCTATGGCGGCGGCACGACATTACTCTCGCCCTGAAGGGTAGAGTGTACAATGTAGCGGTACTTTCGACCTTACTGAACGGTTGCGACACCTGGCCCCTAAGATCGGCGGACATGAAGAGGCTAGTTACGTTCGACCATCGGTGCCTTCGCAGTTTGGGTCACATCTGGTGGAAACACCGCGTGAGTAACAAGCGTGTTCGACGACTTGTTTACGGTAATGTTAAAGGTAATGAACCGCTCAGCACTGTCATTTCACGCACCAGGCTCCGATGCCTGGGCCACGTGTTGCGCATGTCAGTCGACCGACTTCCACGACTTGCGTTGTTTTCTCACTGGGGATGTGGATGGAAGAAAAGGTGGGGTGGCCAAGCGAGGACTTGGTCGAGACGAATGAAGGCCCTCACTTCGGAGCTGGCCTCGGTAAGAGCGTCACGGCTCTCTGGTTGGGGTCCAAAAGACGGTGAACACGTTTGGCTGGATACACTTGCTGACACGGCAAGGAGCCGATCTCAGTGGCGTTCGTGTTGTGAGTTCCTTCGTCCCTCCCCATCCACTTTGGCCTCCCCCTCCACCTACGATCTCATTTCGTAGCGCAAAACAATACTTTTTCTTTTTGCCTAGTGGCCGGCTGGTAGCTTACCGGAACGATGCTTATCCGCTGCTGTTAGCTCAGCTGGCATGCAACTGTTGTATTTGTTTTCCTTTTCCTTTATATATTGCGGCACAGTAGCTGAGGTGTCTTCCAATTCTAGCAGACGTGTATAATAATGATATAGCGATGAACTGGATGCACACAGGTATGGGGCACTGTACCCATACTTGGGTTTAGTACCCATTTATTCAAAAGATGACAACCCAATAACTGATTTTGTGATCTGGTTCATAGTAATTGAACTCGCTGTACCACAGAAAGCTGAGGATATTTCACGCATCTGAAGGTTGCCGTGAAAAAAGGCGATTAGCGCTGCAAAATCGAAGATGGGCCCAATATCTGGTACATGTAAAGCAGATTGGTTCTCTGTACGTCTATCCAGCACACAGATTAGTCTCAAGTCGGGTAAAATGCCTCTTTCGGAGTCTGTTAACTAATAAGTATATATGTTTTGACGAGCAAGTCAAATTTTTAACCATCCGGCATTTTCTTTACCAATCGCGGAATCGTAATCTGGCCTTTCTTTCATTCATTCCTTGGTGTCTGTTTCTGAGTTTACTGCGGTTAGCTTCTGAGACAAGAATATAACCGATCGTAGCTTCCCAAGCGCGGCGATCAGCGGCAAGCTCCATGCAGATATTGAAGAAATGATTTCGATAGTGACGAGCACCATGTACAACCTGAAGTACCAGAAGATCGAGATCCGACTTCATTGCAGCGAGCCAGGTTTCCAGCTATCCACCACGGCGACGACACTAACCAAGGTATAGCTACGGGGAAACCACAGCTCTAATGAAGTCACTGCCTAGCCTGCATAGGACGTGACCTAACCACTGAAGTCTAACACGATGGATAACCGATGAGAGCTTTAGAAGACCTAAGAGAGCTCACTAACTTCCTCACTGGTGATACGCTCATACAACTTCCTTTTCAAGATAAGTGTTAGACACCAATATTTGAAGACTTCCAGCTTCTGTGTCTCTTCGGATCGCAGCGGCCATGTTTCGCAAACATAGATTAAACTGGCACGAAGGGTTGCTGGGAACACTCGGATTTTTGTCCTCAGACTAATTTCCGTCGTCCGCCAAAACATGTTTCTCCGTTGTAAGAAGGCTGTTCTGGCGCTGTCAATATGATACCGGATTTCGGATGTAGCCTGACCATTGGTGAGAATCATGAATCTAATGTACTTGAATCTAGGAAGAGACTAGATAGGTTGTCCATGTAAGGAGAGCGACGGGGAGGACAGGGAGGCTGAGGATGTGAAGTCTTTCGTCTTGCTTATGTTAATTTCGGGGCCCAGCATAGAGGCTGATTGGCCGACCCAATTTAGAAATGATTGCAGTGATATAGGATCTTCAGCGATGACAGCGATCTCGGCAGCGAATCCTAGGTCTGGCAGTCAGAAGTCAGGGCTAACTTGTACACAACAATAAACCTCAAAGGAATGATGCATAACCCAGTAGACAGCGAAGTTTCATGGTATTGCAGAAACTCGGCAAACCTGCCGAACTCCAGTATTGCCGCTGAATTCCCTTGTTGCTTCTCCACAGACCCGAATTCGGGTCTTCCTGAAACAATAGTACGGTTGCATAAACTTAACGAGTTAAACCGGCGCGCCATCAGTAAGTAGGATTCTCTAGAAAATTTCACAGTCAACTGAGTCAAAAGCAACTCGAAAATCATTGAAGCAAACATTGTGAGCTGCTTGAACTGGTATCGGTGTTCAGGTACCTGATGTAAAGTGATATTTGGTCCGTACAGCCTCTGCCTGGGCGAATTCCATCTTGGTTATGGCGAGTTTGCAGATTCTTCTCAGTGGCAAAGCGGAAAAGCGAGATTGGTGTGAAGGTTTGCGTAGTCACATCGATTAGGCTAGTCCCACATTAATTACTACGCATTGTTCGCTCATGTTACTTGGGAATTGGCAGGAATACTGAGGTATTCCACGAGGAAGGATAGACTTCGCTCCCCCATGTCGAGCAGAAACGTTCGTGCAACTGGGCAAGGTGGACTGGCAAACAACACTTGTAGATTTCAGTTGCAATCCAGTCCGCTCCAGGAAAACTTTTCCTGTCTTCAGGCGACGAACGATTTCTGCAACTTCTGTGGGAGATGGCAGTGAATAGTAAGCGTCATATCCTGACTGGGATAATGCTGAAATGGGTGCGGCTGTGTGTAATGTGCGGTTATGAAGGTTGCTAAAAGATTTCACCCACCTGGAAGGTTTTCGTTCTGTATCTGGGATGACATAGTCAGCCGAATTACACAATATCGGGAATAGATTTTGTCGGAAGATAAACAGATGAGACAAAAAGATGACACAGATTGGCAGAATTTGATGCACTTTTTATGTTGCCTGCGATAACTGGCTATTAATGGTTCCGGTCATTCGGTGCTGAGGGAGTTACCTCACGTTTCAAGCGACAGTAATCTGGGGAAATCATGGGACATGCTTCTCTCGCTTTAGTGGACAAACGGATAGTATTTTCAGTAATGCAGTCCATCATAGGCTTAGAGATGGATCCAAGGGTCCATAAAGCGGCCCGTTGCATTGATGATTTTAGCATAGATCAACGAGAGTAGACAGATTCATTTGCAAGTACGAGTTGTGGTGCACTAGCTGAAATTTCTGCTGTTGTTGCTGCCTCAAGAGATCAGCAGCAGTCAGTATTTTCCGTGTGGACAGTGTTGATTCGCTTTGGTAGAAGGGTATTCCGGCGCGTAGTCAAGCTGTGTGTGAGTTTGACGCGCAGGAGTAAGTGGTCCGAACCACCTTTATTGCTCGTTTCGGCCTCCCTGTACGCTCGACAGTCATCGATGGAGGACATCCACCGGTATCGGATGAGCATGTAAGCTATTTGGAAAGCTGTACGACCGTCATTGAATCACCATATCAGAAGATGCTTCCTTGTATGCTAGAAGCGAGTATTGGTTACGCACAACTGATTAAGATCGGCGAAGCTAAGCAAACGTTCTCCATTATCATAGCGCTTTCCAAGGGCGTGCCTCACGCGTATGCAACAGGTGTGATCGTTTTTGGGCCCGGTTCATGCATTGCAGCCATCAAAAATAGTGAGATCGCGTTTTGGTACATGGATCACCACCGTCTATAGAGTAACGTAAAATTCGACTTTTCCCTTTCCACTGAGGGTAGGGTTGGTGCGTAGACAGAGATCATGGGCAGATTCATCGGATAACCTATGGGACCAGCAACTGCTATTCTAGCTGATACTGGCTTTCATGAAAAGAGTGCGTTGTGTGCTTTGCAACTGAGAGCCATGATGGCCCGATGAATCCTTGTATTATTTTCCGGCCCACTGTGGTAAAGCCAATATGTAGTTTCTAAACCAAGGACTTTGCTACCTCGAGAGCCAAAGTCGGGTATTCGAGATTCTGTCAGGCACGCTACATCGATCTGGTAATCAAGTAATGTGCGAATGTTCAACACTTGGCTGCCGACATCCAACAGGTTTCTGACATTCCCGCATCAAATGAATAATGGCTTCCGGGGATTAAGGGACCCAATTATCTTACCTGTCACTCTGGCGACTGGGTCAGCACAGAGCGCGTCGCCTACCAGGAACGTCGTAGCATGAGAAAGATCGCGAGTAACGGACATATCATGAAGGTTCATAGGGCTTATGGGTAAGTAGGAGGACCCCTACCTCATCCGGCTTTTGTTCGAGGGTTCGTCTCTAGCCTTTGTACAGCTAAGTGTCACCTGCAAGGCAGCAGGTATCTGGGAAATTGTCTTATCTTCAGGCCGTTGGATTATGGGTCAATCTCTTCCGCCCAATTGTCAGGACTAACGTTGCACGCGGGTACGTACTCACCGAGAATTGTGTTCCCGGTCGCCATCACCGGATTTAGCTAGTCTGCCCGACGGTTGACCGGGGTGTAACCACTGCTGCGTGCAAAAAGCTTCTTGAAGCTATAGGTGGGAGCTGGATGACAGGTGGAGACAAAAGATGGACTACCACGGAGTGTAAAGCAGGTAGCCTAACAGGCACCCCTGGCACCCCGACACCCGGAGTATTTGCACAGAAATTAGTTATGCTATGACAAATCATTGACCCAGTCTTAAGGGCCACCGCTTGCAAAGCACCGCTTTCATTGTTAGCTCGGCTGCGGGCCAGTACCATTACTAGTACATAGCTATCAATAAAAAAATATTTCACTACCATGAGAATAAACATTTTCTTAGTCCCCTCAAATTTGACTGGGACGTTCATACTACTCGCCAGACCATACAGCCGCTTGCAACATTAGCCACCAGACAATGGATATCCTCTACTCATCCCTGTCAGCATTGTCTACTGGTCACTTCGCGCTGCTTGGTCGCTACGCACGAACATGCAATTGATGGCTTTCTTTATCGGGATGGTTCACTAGAAGGTGAGCCAATTGACGTCTAACCACTAATATGATATTTTTGTCGGCTAATAACGTATTTCAGTGCGCGTACAGCGCTGGCGATGTACCATCGAACTAGCGAGAAGGCTGAAACCTGAAAATTCTCATCACTTTTCTAACGTTCCAATAGTTTCAGTCAGTAAAAACTGTCACCGAGAGTTGTTTTGAGTCTCTGGCTTTATCCAGTTTACCTAGAAGATCGGCAAAAATTATTAGCTCTTGTAATTACACTACTTCCGAAAAAACTGAAGAAACCAACCGGTCGTTCTTGATAGTAGCATAATGGTTACGAGAGATAGTGGAGTGTTGCATGGAGGTAATATTTACAAGTGAGCAATATTACTCTCTTTAAAAGCTTCGGGTAGACAAATTGCAAACAAAAATCACTTTCAGGGAACTGTTGTGCGAGTCATTTAAAGTGTTCAGATCGTTCCACCTTTGCCAAACCTTGTGCGTTGCGGTGAAAGCATCGGTATTTTCTACAAAGTTGGTGGCACATCAGTAGTTAATTTTAATGCTTCAGCTAATGCCCATAATTTTGGTTTTCTGTGCAAGGTTTAGCTTGGTAGTTTGCTCACATGAATTTTTGTCATAACGGGCTCCTGAGGAGGCGAAATATAACAGGAATTTCTTTGAAAATCTAGAACAACTTAGTCAGGTGTATTGGTTTGAGACGCGTCACCTATCGTTGGATGCCAGACGACCAGTCCCAGCTGCACGAGAATTCAAGCAAGATGTCGGGTATGTCAGTGTTCTCGGTTCAGTAAAACCAAAGGTGCGGTTCATCAGTTTGCATCAACAAACCTGCGTAAGCCGAAGAATACTCTCGGTTGCGCTATTGGCTCATTCACGAATACACGTTTTGCTGTGCCGTGCTTCGAGTGATTAATCTGCAAAGCGATTATCTTTCTAAGGGGTCTAAAATTCCATCATGTCCTAGTGAATATGCTGCATCCACAAGGGCTTGTTTATTTTGACTGATGCGCCTGAAAAATGAATTCCATTTCCGTTCATGCTTTGCAACGTCCTGGGTCTGTGTCTCGTATGCTGATTGTTTGACCGAGTGGATGGATCTTGTTCCCTTGAGCAAGGAAAGACGACAATTTTGTTCATACAGCAGGGCCGCATGTGACAGGGGGTGGCATTTTTAGTACAGTGCATTGTTCGATTACACATATATAAAGGGCAAAATATCCGGATAAGCTAAGCTTGAAGATTATTGTGTTCCTGTGTATGACGAACAACATATTTGAGCCATATGTCACATCTGTGCAAACGTTCTTCCTAGCGAACCCCTTACTTCTCCCATCATGGTCAATCACACCACGTTTACCTCAGTGCCCAGAACGATCAGCTGTTTCATAGAAAACTAACGTGCACTTTAACCTGAACCGATTGTGTGCCCACGAGCCTTCTCTGCTTTCAGTTATAGCGAATATTTTACTACTGGCCGTGCGACAAAAGTAGTTGCTACGTCAGTGCATCCATCCCCCACTTTTATTCCTCCAGTAATGGTACTGACTCAAAAGTCAACCGTCACGGGAAGTGATTGCATTATGTTCAATTCGGCTGCTATAATTTAGTAACCAAAGAACGGAAAACTAATGTCGATCCAAAGCAAGCTGCTCACTCATTTTCTGGCTATTAAAGCGGTTTCCTAAATACAATATTGGTATTTACAACCTTTTTGTGTTGCTGTATGTCTGACAGTGTGCATGTGAGATTATATACCAAAAGGTTACTGTATTCAGAAAGCGTTCATTGAACTTGACCATTCAGTTCAAAACAAGAATTTACTTGGCCCAACATTCCGATGAATCGACATCCACCGATGAATGCCATCATTCCAGTGACAAGGCTGACTCTTGCCCTCATGTAGTCCGGTTCGGACACTAGGGTGAAAATCTGAAATTTGAAATAAAATTGTCAGGCATGTCTTTAATTGGTGAACCCATGAGCAAAAATAGCTAATAACTCGTCAGCTGTACGCCGTAACGCCACTTTGCTACCACAAGACTAGCACCAGTGGCGCGTAGCCTGAGTATACCGCGAGGAATCCGCCCCTACACGGATTCGAACCGGTGACCTTATGATTGCAAGCTAGCCGTGCAGACCACGCTGCCACCGGCCACCATCCATAAGCAATAGTTGAACAAGTTAGTTCACAGGTCTTAAATGAGACGAGGTAAACCGCGAAGTTGCCTACGCACATAAATCTGCGCTTTTTGATTACATGTGATCCCAATTAGCAAGACGCAAGTTACTCGTTATCTTAAGCATCACGGTAGGCTAATCAGATGATCGCTTTACGAACGCTGAGTTATCTTAGCTGCCGATGAGTGCTAGTTAATCCATGTTATCAGTATGTAGACATTCACCATGCAACTAACCTCTAATTATGGGGAGTGACTACTGCGCTATGAGATATAATACGCTCGGGTTAAGACAGGAACGTAGTTTAGCTCTGTAAATTGCTCCAGTTTTTGTAATGTTTGTTGACGAAATCTGAAACTGAAACCTGGAGGACATTACATGCTTCGCTCATTGGCACCAGAATTCCTGTTGCCCTAACCGGGGCAGTTAAAAATCAGTTGGACGCGTCTATACCAATTTAAATCCTCAGCTAAGGAACCTTGCAACAACAATGGAGTACCAGCTAACCATTTTTCTTTTTAATTCTAGTTACTCTGAAATTCTGGGCCCAATAAGTTAGTATAGTTAAGATTACACTGATAATTGCGTGCCTGCTTGGCTATTGGAAAATTTGACATAAATGATCTACATGACGACCGCATTGAGGAGGTGAAAAATGGGCAAATAGATTTCTCCATTTCGAATGACAATTACATAACGAAAAGCTCTCGACAATGTTGTTCCCCTCTCAACAAGAATGTAGTGTGTCGAAGGACGTATTCAGTAACTTATCAGAAAGCACTTCATTATCTCTAAACGTTAGTGCAAGCAATTTGAGCGCCAAAGCAACGCCACAACTTCTACAACCAGAGTAGAAGGAAATTCATTTTATTTTCATCGAATTTTAATTGCATTTTCGCGCAGCATGCTGGTGGTAAGCTACCGACTATCACCATGAACACGGACCTTGATCTAGACACGATTACTGAGCAGTCTAGTTTTGAGTCCAGCTTCCGTCTTTGAGAAATCTGTATTCTATTAGTCTCGCTTCTGTAACCGACCACACCAACCCACGCCTGCAACGAATCCTGCAATATGTGTTACACGAGCTCTCGTGTTTGCGATCGGTAACTGCGCGAATATAACTTGAGCTTTCGGCATTCGCCGTCCAGTTGGAACTAAATTATGATGCACGACTCCGTTCTTGTTTTCATCGACATGTCGAAGGAAGTACCCTTAGTTTTACGAAAAATCAGCTTGAACAGTATATAACAATCGATATAAGATTGGGCTAATATTAGAAAACTCTTCCACCGTCACGATACCGGTGATTGATTGCAACCGAACCCCACAAGTACTGAAACGAACAAAGAGTTAATGTGCGGAACTTACGACAAAAATTTCCGAATACAACAGGGCAAAGGCAGGATTAGCCGCTCCAGCAATTGCGCTACACACGCAACCTAAAGAGATGTACACGGCCTCGGGGCGATTCATCCGAAGCACACGAAGAACGGGGGATTGGGCAATCTTGCCGTACTGTGAATAAACAGCATACATAGCAGAACTGAATGTGTAATAATCGAAAATGGTACATCTTGTCTGGGATTACTGCTAATAAATCAAAATGCACTGAAGTCGATTTGGGGTAAGGATTACACAATTTCGGAAAGATTTATAACTCAGAACCGCCTCAAGCATTAATTTCTTGGCCTGTCAAACACATGCTTTTTCTGCGCTGGTAACATTAAAATAACATTGAGACCATAACACTTTTGCACAGTTTTCTCAGCATGTCTTACCTCGTTATACCAGAATCGTCTATAGGCAGGGTTTATACGCGTGAAGCGCCTGCTCCCGGGTCATTTTGATTATTCCTCTCTATCCTCTCTCCAACTTCTCATAGTTTAGTCGCTGCACGCTCATTTGAACCGGATTTACCAGCCCTACACGTTGATTCGTCACATGTGAAGGTATCTTCTAAGCTTAAAGTCCGTACCAGTTCTAACCATCTTAACTCTCATCCGTGATTAAGTGCAAGCGGATAACTCGATCACACTGAGCCGATTGACTTTCTGTATTACACCGTTCGATACAAAATTACCGAGGCAGTCCGAAAAACTTAGGCTTATTCCAATCCAGCTTTTCTCAAAACAGCTGTGAAAGCATTTAAGCTTCCTCAATCTGTGTTCAGCGCTGCGTTCAGATTCAGTTGGTAGGTTCCAGTCACTCGCCATTCCTTGTGACTTTGGCAGCCAGTGCGCCTACATAACCAATCACACGGACCGCGACCACGCTGACCGCTGGTTTGACCTTGCAAACACGATACTGATTGATGTGCGCCGCTCTCAAAGCTGGAAAAGTACAGAACGCGAACCAACCCATTGAGTCAGGTTAAGAATCCAGGTCGCATGGCGGGAATACGAATCTGAAAAGACCCCAAGCAAAAGGCATTTGGGGGTTAGGAGAATGTCAAACTAGTTAAAATAGGTCTGGCTTGCTCGCAATGTTTAAATGGTATCACCCGAAATGTGCAAATGGGTCCCAATAAAAGGTACGAGAGCGAAATACCCCACAAGATGCGCTTTGGTTCTCTACTGCGTGATCGGCCACCACACTCTTTAAGTGCTTGCTTATTCGAGTCCAGAAGTGCGACCGATTAACCGCAGAAGCCGAGCGCATGATGGACGATAAGTTCAATTCAATGGAAGCGAGTATGCCCAACGGAAGCGTAGTGGCCTCTAATCAAGGGCATGCAGCACAATCTGCCTCCCTTGAACCGTAAGCAGCCACCTCTCCATCTCCGTTGTCTTCTCCAACTTTGCTAGAACGCCGGGAGAAACCTGACTGTACCTACGAGAGTCAAACAATACTCATGGCAATGGAAATCAGGCACTACTCGAAACGTATGATCCAGCGAATTTCACTGGACCTGGTATCTAGTATTATTAAGGATAAAGAAGCCGAACACCAACCTTCGGTACCTGTAACTCAAAGGTCACTTGTCGAGACAAGGTCCTCCAGAACCTCAGTTACATAGCAGAGATTGCTGCAAAGGCCAAGCGGGAGGTCGCCGTTACGGCCACTGCTATTTTAACCACCGTTAATGCGGACACAGGGATAAAGGATAAACAATCAACACTTGTCAGCAGGTGAGGACAAACGAATACCCTACCATGTAGCTCAACGGAAAAAAAGTTCCAACAATATTGCCCGGACTGTTGTATGCTCAAATGTCCTCCAATCGACCGCCATCACCTTGCGGGGTGAGTTACCGGACGACCTAGACCAATGGAACTCATTGTACGTTCTGATAAGTATCAAAGCCAAAACTATAAACTTATTACGAATTACTCGCCATCCGAAATCGCCACAATATGGAGAACCAAAACTCATCCGAGTAACACCAGAATCCTCCACCGATGTAGAAAACGCTTTGCTCTCCGCAAGCGCGCTAAGACACGGATCCGGTGGGATACACATCTATCCTGATGTACCTTGGAGCGCGCGACAATCAAAAAGGAACATGGAATAGAGACACAGTAAGCTAGACAGCCTAAACAATTTTCATACATGGCGTGTCAGAGCCTCTTTCTAACGATGTGCAATAGGCCGGAAAGCACGATTTAGAACAGTGGCGGTTCAATCCTGAAATACTTTCTTTGGATAATATTGTGGTGCTATCGCTCACCAGGATAACTCCCTCACCAAATTATAGGGGATGCGCCCTAGAAACCTAAAGCTTTTAGTTCAGTCAGATCAAAAAGCAACGTATGTTTTGGATTAATGGCGGAGGAATTGGAAACGTTTTCCTTCCAAACTTCTGTTAAAGGCCGCAGATGCCTTAGAAAGTTTAAATATTCGAGCACCTGAAACAGCAAACGTACCGACGATGATAAAGGAGCATAACTTGGATGCTGCTTTACTCATGGCTGACGTAGATCAAAACGAACATTGGGATGCACCTCGGACGAATCAAGTTACAGACGAGGCACCATAGTCCCATCAAAAAGAGGAGTAGCTGCCGACCTCCCATCTGACTGCCTTCGTCCAAACGTGACCCCTTTTAGCCCTATGTGGCTTCTAGAGACCGAGAAACTGGCCCGCTTTTACACGAATGTTAAAGGTCATTTTAATAAACTGGCCGAACTGAAAGATCGCTGAACTTCTGGGTCATATGATGTCACTGGTATCACTGAGACATGGTTGCACACGGGAATGACGGACGATGGAGTTTCGCTACCGAGCCTGTCGCTGATCCGGAATCAGTGGTTCACAAAATCCGCAGGGGTAATTCTATATTAACGAAACGACTTACAGTGCGAAGCCGTAGAGGATTCGGATTCGCAGTTCCCCAACTCTCTTTGCTGCTGTTTGTAGTCAAAAGAGAGAGACACCTTCCTTACTGTCTTAGTGAACCGCCACGCGAACTACACCCGAAACCGACTGTCACCTTGCGGCTGCTTTAAGTTACAGTTTAGAGCAAAAGTACACCCACATCCTTATCATGAGTGATTTCAAGGTACATTGTTAAGACGCTCTTACCACAATCGGAGAACAATTCAAGGCCAATCTACTAGATCTCGTAACCACTGTTCCTCTGTACAATCACATCGCTTTGCCCACTCGATGAAGAACAAGTAACAGGCCATCTGTGCTGGATCTTATACTTACCAAGGAGGAGCATACGACTGATGTATTGGTTTTAGGCTGCTCATTGAATCGCAGTGATCACGCCGTCATCAGTTTCAACTTCGTCTGCTGTGCGGAATATCGGAATGAGAAAGATGAGACTGTGAACCGTCACAAGCTACGGTGGATTAGCCCAGCTCGTCAGCACTTCAACTTGGTCTTTCCTTGAGGAAGAACCCCGAAAGTCGCCTGGTCCGAGTTTGTCAACAAATTCAGTAACTTGATTGCAGAGGCTTCAGAGATAAGAGTTTACAATAAGTGTACGTCAGTTTCTTTTGTTAGGAGAAGGACCCAAAAATTGATGACAGTACGCCACGCAGCATGATGAGTGTACAGAGAAGGTCAACACCGGAGACTCGGGACAACAACGTAGCCCAACATAACCACTGCCCTTAGCTGCTCAGAGAAGACAAAGCCGCATATTAGCAGAACATCGCAAATACCTTCAGTGCTAAACACACACTGCTGTACAAACACCTCAATAGCCTAGGAAGGGTGAGGCAAGGATTTCCTTTACTCAGGACGGCCGATGGCCCGACAAGAATGCCTGTGGAAGCAGCAAACACGCTGTGAATACAATATGCCCCCACGTTTCAGATGGTCTTTCCGCCAAGCGACCTTCCAGCCTTTGTTGTCACTCCGCCAGGACTAACCTACAGCACTTTTATCGCGGAGGCTGTATTACAAAAGCTGTCGTCTCTACTCAAACACAGCTCGCCGGATGTTGATACCATTCGTCCAGAAGCACTGGAAGCAGCAGCAAGCCAACTGATAGAACTTTATCTCAGGATTTGCAGCGCTGGTCTGACCAGAACTAAGTTCCCGCTATGTGGAAGCTTGGAATAATAACCCCGATTCACTAAAGTGGAAATAGAACTGAGCCCTCCAACTACCTCTCAGTATCTCTTCTTACTATACTCCTCTTCCTATACTCTCCTATACTCTCCATTGTTGCTCATGCACTGGTGTGGCATCTGGAACTATGCAACCAAAACACCACGTCAGAGCAGCTCAGCCTCCGTCGACAGCGGTCATGCACAACAAATTTATTGATAGCACTACGTAGCTGAAACGAGATAGCTGACGCCGGAGAATGTGTTGATATGATCTACCTGGATTTTTTGAAGGCGTTCATTCGTCTAGGCCATCGGATACTACTTTCTATGCTTCAGCATTACTGGTTCGGTGACCCTCTTCTAAGCTGAATTTCCAACTTTCTACTTCAAGGGCAGTTAGCAGTCGGAGTTTGGAGCTCATTATCAGACCTCATACAAGTCGAGCGTGGTGTGCCGCAAGGCTCAGTACTAGGTCCATGTTTATCGTCGGTGTTTATTAATGACCTTGCACAGGGAATCACTTCAGACTTTCTAAAGTTTGAAGACGATATCAAGATCTAGCGCAGGATCCAGGCGGACGCCGACCACCATCTGTTTTAGAGTGGCTTAGAACATTATGTTTTCGGTAAATTGCATGCATGTCTCCTGAGTGGAGATTTACAACAATTTGTGGAGAAGGAGCGAATGCCCCGGCTTAATAATAATCATTGGTTTTAAGTGGACTTCAAAACTTTTGGGCAGAACCGCTTCCGTCTTCACCGTGTGTTTGTGTGGTCCGCTACTGAATGCATGAGATATCAGGTTGTGGGAATCGGTACAGTAGCTGAGGTGTTCCTCACCTCTAGCTAAAGTGTATGAGGTTGATGATGGGAATCGTTTTACGAGGACTGGGAGGAAGCTGCCCTCATATTCGTAACACATACCATCAGTGATAGTAGGAGGGCGGAGAAGCAGATATCCGAGATGTCGAGTTTGGCGAAGCCGAGAGTTGTTAACTATTTCGCCCAAACC